TTCGGCGTGCAAACTGTCTTGTGTTTTGGTTTCATTTATTTTCTTTTCTTTTGGATGATGTACTATTGGGCTGACAACTGGACCTAACGTATTGTGGCTGAGCTTTTGTTTTCCCTTTAGCTGTGCCTTTGCCGTGACTGGTCCCTCTCTCCAGTCCTCTTCACTCATACTGGTCCCCTTCCTGTCTCATGCAGTCCGTGCAAACCGGTAACATCGTTCCCCTTATCCTTCCCTCTTCTCCATTGAGGGCAATGTCGAACTTAAGTGTGGGAGGATGTTTCTCTTTTGACTGCATTAGATCTGTTTGTGTGCTTGGAGCCTAGTCCACTGTCCAAATCTCGATTTGAGGGCTCCAAGTACGTGTTTCCTTGCAAATTGCCTGCTCAGTATGCTTTGAATGGACAGTCTCTATAGTAATGTGCAACCTAGGGAGGTAGTGTAGCACTATGGAGGATGTTGATGCATAAGATTTTTACTATGTAGCTCTCTGCTGTGCTGGTTGATTTTGTGAATTAGTGGAGCGAAGAACGTTGAATTCATGTGGTAATGGTGACACTGATTGGATTGTGTTATGGACTTGTGTATCGAACAAGGTGCTCATGTGGGAAATGAAAAGCAGTTGGTCCTCCATGTCGAAATCATTGAAATCTTAAACATGGGGTAAGCCCAACGTGTGTGGCACCGCTCATTGCACAAAATCGGGTTTTGGAAGATATTTTAGTGATCCTTAGTGGGGTACTCCTACAAGGTGAAGCTAAGCTGTCTCTAGTACAAGTAAAATTTTCACCCGTTGAACGGTTTGTCTACTCGAGGATGTGTTTTTAAGGGCACGGATAGAGCTTCTGACCCCCCTTAATTTCATTGACCCTCCACACGAGTTGTGGAAAAGGAGTTAAAAGAAGTACTCTGGCGAGCGCCAGATGTACAAAAATTGCTCTTGCTCGACTAATAATGGTCGACCGTGCAAAAGACTACAGTTGGAACCCCCGCCAAGTGAATAAAAAAAACAAAAAGAAATATAAAATGAAAGTGAAAAAAGGGGTTCCAACGGTGAAATGAAGTGAAAGAGCACCCCGGTACAATGAGTTCTTGTTTGTGAATGGTGTGAGTCCCTTTATCCATGAACTGGCTGTCTTACTCCCACTTCTTCTCACGATCCTGGTTTGAGTCTAGTACTCGCATTAAGAGAGATAGGGAACGTCTTAGAAGACCAGTTGACCTCGTAAACTGCTATATGATCTAGGAAATCCTCTACTGATGATCGAGGTTGTTTGTTGCTATAGAGGTCTGGAGAGTTGCATTGGTTTGAGTTAGGTTTGCTTGGGGACAAGCAAACGGTTAAGTGTTGGGGAATTTGATAGACCATTGATTGCACATGTTTTTACCCCTATTCTTGAGCCATTTGAGATGTTGATTCTCGTGTTTTAAGCTGATTTTACGCTAGGTTGTGTGTTTATGTCATATTTCAGGGCTTGGCGTTGGCATCAAGGCGAAGAAACGAGTTTCGGGTTGAAAGGAGCACGTTTGAGTGGAAGTGTGCTGGAGGAGCAAAATACCCGGCCAGGTATTATTCTAAGCAGACCGGGGAAAATCACTTTTGGGCGTTTGAGAAGCAGAAGGGGGCCCGGGCATTGAGCATAAATCCCTGATCAGGTATTCTTGACCTTGACCGGGGATTAATCCCCTGTCCAAAGCGGTGCGTTTCAACAATCCCCGGTCGCCACCTAAAAATACCCGATCGGGTATTCTGGCCGGGGATCGCGAATGACAGCTTCTTAAGGGAAAAGAAGCGCAAAGTTGAAGGGTTCCGAGTTTTAGAGAGAAAAAGCGTATACCTAGAGAGAGAAAGTGGCGAACCTAATTCTTCAAGCGCCTTAGATCGATCTTCATCACCATTGGAGCCCGGCTTGAGCTTGGAGAAGTGTTGATTCATTGCCAGAAGCAGAATCTCATCCTTCAAAGTATGGTTTCCGCATCTGAGCTAGATTTCCCATCTCTCTCTATGGAGTAACTTTCTTATTCACCTAGGTATGAAGAACCCTAGACTTGTATGTTAGGTCTGATTGTATGCACCCAAGTACGAATTCAGTGACATGATTATATTAAATTGAGGTTTGATTTCTTGAATGGCATGAATCTTAATCAAATTCCTGTTATTTCTGCTTTGACCTAGAAAGAGAATATCTGCCTAGGTTGATAGAGCACCCTTAATTGAAGGTAGTGAATTGGCGACTTTAGTCGAGAAGTCAATTCACTATTCTGTACTGGATTTAATTCGGTAGAGGAGGTTTGGTTTGTTAGGGCCTCAATCTGTTTACTCCGGTGGAGGTTAGTCGCCCGCTTGGGACTCAGAATGAGAGGGTCTGGAGACCTTTAGTCGAGACTGCAGACTGTTTAAGAACCTCCGCAGTATAACTATCATTGAAATTGAACTTGGTAAATTACAAGCTGGCTTAACTACAGTCTAGGGGGAACCATATCCCGGTGACCTCTCTCAACTTGAAAACAACATTTTACTGCTTTGCTTGTTTGGACCTTTACTACACTTTCACTGCTAAATAATAAGAATTCACAGAGTAGTCATCACACTTAGGACCCGGGTTGACATTAAAACCCAAACCTGCTATGCTACGCTCTAGTAGGTGATTACACTTGGCCATTTTCTAGAGTGACGGTAGAAGCGAGTCACTTTGTTTGCCGCCTCTGCTTGACCATTGGCTTGGGGTACGCTACTGAGTAGAAGCGAGCTATCGTGCCCATTTGATCTCAAATTGCTTACCATGATTGAACACGAGTGAATTGGGAACGCCAAATCGCGTTGGTATGTTGTGTTTTAAGAAACGAGTGACTTGTTGCGCGGTAATTGATGCAAGTTCCTCGGCTTCAATCCACTTAGTAAAGTAGTCGACCGCCAGTATGATGTACTTGCGCTTGCCTCTTGCTGTTGGGAAGGGCCCAAGAGGTCTACTCTCCATTGTGCGAACGGCCATGGGCTCCTGTTGCCCTGGAGTTTCGCAAATGGTATGTGATGTTGTCGTGCGTTAACTTCGCATATGTGGAACCGGTCGACAAACTTCTTTGTATCCTTCTTGATTCGTGGCGAGTAATACCCATGGAGTAGAATGGTGCGATCCATGCTAACCGAACCCCAAAACAACTCCTTCCCAATAATTAACTAGCCTATTCCTAATCTCAAAGCCCATCCCAAAATAACATCATCAATCCTTCCCCCTCAAAGAACCTTGTCCGCAAGGTTTTGATGTTAACAAATTCCGCGAGGGACGATGATGATGACAACTGCAACTTTTAAGACAGCATCGCGATTGTCGCCTCCTAAACTTCCAGTTCTCGGTGCGTCACTTGTTATTCTTCCTTGTATTGGCCAAGACTCCCAATGTGGTCCCTTGAGCATAGGCAGGAAAAAGTTTATTCCCATAGTATACTTAGGGGTTGGGTTAAATGGAAAAAAATGTGGAAGCTTTCCACCACAGTCACCACCCTTTCCCCAAGCAAGAGTCTACCGAGGGTTCCTAGTGAATGAATCAGGAATGGAAGGTCCGTGCGACCTCTGCTTTGCCCACACCCTTCTTCTCGTTAACTTGCGTGTTAGGCGCGGCCTCCCGTATGAACCCAGAAAGCGTCTCTCCCCTCCGGCAACCCTACGTTCTCAGCGAATCCCACCGCCGCCAAGATTGAATTCCGTCCTAGGCTCTTATTCGCCAGAGCTCGAGTCTCGCAGCCGCATCAATGAATTCACCGATTGTCATTTGTCACAACCCCAACCCCTCCGCGTTGTCCAAACGTCGGAATTCCAAAAACGAAGCCGGAGCATTCAAGGAGCGTGTTTTGATGATATGGTCAAATAAAAGGGTTAGCTATGGGGTAGTTTGGATGAACAGACATGACGATGGCCTTAGAAATAGGATAGTCGAATTGGGGTGTGAGATGCTGATGATACATTAATTCGAACCAAATTAAAATAACATGAAATTTTTGTTTATAACTTATATATTTTTTGGGTGTTCAATTATAGATCTTTACAAAGTAAGGTATCATACATAACGTTAATCATTATTAGAGGACTTCATAGCAAGAATAATTAATTAATGGGTGCAAGTAGTAATTAAATTTATTAATTTTATCATAATTTATAATGAATGTTAGATTAGATCAACAGTGGAAAGAACCGGAGCATACCAGTCGTATCGGCTGAAGCTGATCTAAGTACATCTAACGGTTAGATCACCTGATGTATACTATCCGTCTGACGTACACCAGTCATTACTATATATATATAGTATACTATACTATACTATACTTTAAGGCCTTGAAAAGCAGCCTTAACGACATCGTATGAACCCGAAACCCATGTCATCTTGTAGATGAAGTTTTTATCTTCAAAATAACACCATAACCTCTCATTTCCATTAACCCAATTGGAAGAACCAAGCTCCCAATGTTGGCTACCTGAACACATCAATATACTTAGCCAAAATTCCAAATTGTTCAAATGAGTTGGGCTAGCTTCTTGGGTAGGTAATTCTAGCTTGGCAATGATGCAATTCTTGGGTGTATCATATATAGGATAGAAAACCCTAAGAACTATCCTAGTCCTAGCCGAAACCCACCACTCTTAGACCATTCGGCCACTCTATCCTAGTCCTAACCTCATCACATGCTTTGACGATTCAGAAGCTTTACCCTTGAATTATCAAACCTTTTGTATTCTCAAGTCTGGTCCTCTACCACAGTTGTTGAACTTTCTGTCAGGAGCGGTATAAATATCACCCCAGCGAGTGAGCTTAGAGAGTTGGAAAAGGAAAAAAAGAATGCTATTTGACTTGATTTCTCACTACAAAGAAATGGGCCTAGCCCAGGGGTTTCCTTCCAGGGGTTTCCTTAACCGCTGCCGGGCTTTTATATTGGTAACTTTGGCAGCCAATCCAGCAGCGGTCATTGCACCCGCTGAGAAGCCCAATTACCTTTTGCTGAAAATGTTTTCCTGATTCCTCTATCTTCCCAAAATCAATTTCTTTTCTCCCTACTCCAGCTAGTCGAACCCTAACACCGCCGTAGACGATACCCTCAATCTCTGAAACAATCCATGTCTGTGCCCCTCTTTCTCTCACCTTCGTGACTTGAAACTTAGACATCTGATAGCTCACTAGCTCTACGTCGTCCCTGTGTAGCTTGCTATTCAGATGAACTCACAATCTCTGATCAAATCTCTTTCTCCGCATGGTGCTCTGGCTTTGTGGAATCCTGGTTCGGCCGTCATTTTCCGTCTATCTGTTCTGCATTCATATATTCTCAATTGATAGTAAGAACTCGCCTATTTGATTGCTTGCTTTCTTTCTCTGTATTTGACTTAGGTTTTTGGTGAATATCTTTCTCTCTCTTGGTCAATCGGCTTCTAGCACGAAGGAAGCAGAGTCGATAAGGAATTGAAACTTCAGTTTTGACAAGGATGGGGATGAATTCATGCTTGGGGTGTGCGCTGAGGAGATGCGGGATGCGGAGACTCCAATTAGGGTTTGTTATTTGAGATTTTTGGATTATTGAATTCGTAGCAGTTATAATTACCTAGGTATGATTAGAATTCTGCATTATATCGACTGCAATTCAGACCTTCCCTGCTGTAATGGTAGGTGTCGGTTTCTCTATTCGTTTATTCAGAATTAAGCATATGTTATATAGATGGCGCTTGCATGATTTTCCTTTCCTTTCCCCTCATTTTCCTATCATTTTGTTTTGTTTACCTTGTAAGATATAATGAGACATAATCACATAGCTTCAGTTTTCGGTGTTCCTTTGTTATTGTGAAATCTTTGGGTTTTGTACTTAGTTTCTGTTTGGTAACTCATAGCCTTCAAGTTTAAGTTAGAGAAGTGTCTCCTTCATTCAGTTTATGTTTATTGCTTTTTATCTTATCTGGTATAAGTTAGAGAAGCGCCTGCTGGGTCTGATATGGTTTCTAAATTGAAACTATTGCAGGCAATATTTCCTGATGATATAGCTCGATTCAAGCATGCATACTCTGTCAATACTTCAGGGACTTACGATGAGGAAGAGAAAGAAGCCCTCACCATCCTTATAGCAAAGAGTCGCTTGAGTATAGTGGGGCTTTCCCACCTTTCAAGGTAGAACCCCAATAATATAAACAACTTTGATGTTATCCTCTGTTTAACAAAGAATGGTAATTGATGATTCATTGATGTGTAGTAGTTGCAGTGTTCTTTGTGTGTAGCTGTGTTGTTGTTGCCCATGCAAGAATATATCGATTGTAGCACTTAAACTGCGATTCAGCTTTTGGGAACTTTTATAGATACCACTGCAGAGTGTCTAGTGGGTTCTGTGATCTCATTAATTGGGTTTCATTTTAATAAGCAGGATTTGGTTTCATCAAAGTCTAATGTTGCTACTTGTGATAATTTCCCCCTGTTTCTGGGCTACTTATGTATGAATCATATTCCCTTGCAGGATATTATAACAAAGAATTGTCAAGATGTACACTTGGTTCATGTTCTGATTCTGTTTTAGCTAATGTGTTGTTTGGTAGCTGGGAAAATCGTATAATAAGAAGGGAAATTTTGGTATGAAAGAGCAGGTGTATCTATAGGATATATTCCTTTTGTTATGCTTGAGCTTGATTGTTCAGAGGATGCATTTGACTTCATCTCGATAGCTTTGTATATGAAGCTCCTTCATTTGTGTTACTTTCACAATTAACTAAAGTTCATTCTTGAAAGCTGCAGCCTACGGCGTTTGACATGGATAGATACTTTTCCTAGCTATATGCATGCTAAAGTTCTGTGTTTTTATTGGTTTTTAAGTAGCCAGCGAATGAATTTGTCTATATGCAGATATATGGAGCTGTCTGATTGGCCAGATGCAACTAAACTTGCTAGCAAGTACCTCACTGAACTGAAGCAGGTAAGTCAACTTAATCCAACACTCAGTTCAGGTGAAAGCCTCAACAGATTATGAATATGAAGGAGGAGGTACAAACGACTCATATTTTCCTCCAAGTCTTATTCGGTTTCTATCTTTCTTTATGTTATTGACCTGAATTTCTTGGACAGAGGGGTCTCAAATGGACAAGGCCGAGGTCGCGGTGGCAAAGAAGGTCAAGGGCAGAGGTAGTACCAAACACCCTAATGCTTATTGTATATTATGCAGTTTATCTCGAGGCATTTCCATCTCATGATGTTACTTTTTTATTGACTATGTCCGAATCTTTTTCAGGGAATGTATATGTGTCTGTTGAGTACGAAGATGGTGGTTCTCTAGCTAAATCATTAAGGTATGAGAAATATAGGTTCATTTAATTATCTTTACACTAATACATTTATTCTTCCATTGCATTCACCATCTTAGTCATGTTTACACAATTATGCACTTCTGCTTTGTATTTTGCTCTTCTGCTATGTTGTGTTCAAGATGTGCAAGCTTCCTTGCTATTGGTTAGTTGCTAAATCATTAAGGTATAAATGCTATTTTGGTTCTTATAATCACAGTACATATATTTGTTCTTAAGAAACTAAAGCTTAAGAATTTGATGTCCCTTAGGATAGAAAGCTGAGGTGTCAAGGTTAGGAAACTAGCTAGTCTTCTAAGTTTGTAATTTCTTAAATCTTACAATAGTTATCTTTACAATTATGGGTATGCTATGCTTAGTAATGGTTAAGTATAGTCCCAGAAAGGAGCAATCTGATATGTCTTATAATTGTGTATAGGAAAAGGCACATAGTCTTCGACAAGAAGAGGTCTTCTGATAATCAATAGATATTTCAGAAACTGCATAGGCCAGAGCATCCTGGGAGGGTTTGTTTAATAAAGAGGTCAGGGGAGGGGTCAATAGATGATTCATTTTGTGCACCATCTTCATCAAGTCAAAGTGCTACACGGGCTAATGAAAGGTAAGTAAATACAACTTATATGTTGGCTTGGTCTTGTATCATTATCTCTTGAATCATCCTTGCTTGACCAATAGTTCATTTTCTTGTTGATGAGAGTTTTTTGTTTGATCACACATGCTTCTCCCTGGTTTCATAAGGTCTCTGTTTCATTTTGAAGCCTAGCTGAAAGGAGTTGTGGGGCTGGCTATGGGTTTGCTTTCTGATTGACAATTTTCTACTTGCATGATGTAGGCATACCCACAAAGGAGGGAGGGAGAGATAGAGAGATGAGAGGGGTGGGGGTGGGGAAGGAAGAAGAAGATCAATAATCTAATCTGTTTATTAGTGGTTTCCCACTTTCACATAGTAGCTAACCAATAATATGTTTGTTTTGGTTGGCTTTGTAACAGGATAAGCTGAGCTGTTGGTGATTCAGAAGAAAGGATTTGGCTGCAACTTTATCTTTGTTCAAACTTTTATGTTTTAAATTACTGTGAGTAACGTAGACTTGGAAGGTACTGCTAATATGTGTTAAAAAATTGAAAGTTGTAGCAGATTGCAGGGATTCTAGAATTTATGAAAAAATTTACTTTCTCCATCAGCTTGTAAAAACGATCGTTAAAAATTGTAGTTAAATATGGTTTCCCGGGGGTTTAGGGATGTTGTTAACTGTTCGGCCGAAGTGTCATGTAGCAGGGGTTCAAAAACCGTCACGGAACAATCCGCGACTGCTGCAAAATTTCCTATCCAATGACACAGAAAACACCAATAGCAACGATATATCTCCGCTGCAGAAAAACCTCGCAAGAACATACACCACCGGTTGGGCTAACCCCTGCCATAAATTTGCGGCGGTGGTTGTTGCGGCGGTTTGGCCGCGGTTACAAAAACCCCAGCCGGAAAGGTTAGCAGCGGTGTTTTTCGTTGCTAAATACAAAAAATACCCATGCTATAGGTGTTTTATTTTGTAGTGTCTGACCGAGATTTGTCTCTGATTTTTCTTGAACTAAGCTTTTCTGTAGCAGTGTAGTGGCACATGGGCTAGGATGGATTAAGGTGACTAAGTGGTTCCTAAGTGAATTTCAACTTTTCAACTTCATTTAAATCTAATCGTCTAAATTAATTTAATTTAGTGAAAGTTAATGTGGTAATTGAATGTTTTTTTTAATTTTAATTCGGTAATCATTAAAAGAATTTCTCGCCACCTTCCCTACCAGGCGGAAATCTGCTGGTCAGGAAATAACCGATGTCCCTTTCCTTCTCGCTGGCGTCCTGCACCTTGCGCCAATTTTCTTTGCGGATTCACACACAGAGAGAGAGAATTTCTAAAGTCGTGGGAGGGTTTCTCGACGGCATCACCATACCATTTATGATTTTTATTGGTCAATTTTGTAATATTTGTAATTCTGGTTTGTAATGTTTAACCATTTGGTTTATAACGTTTATCATTCTAGTTTTTCATTTTTGTATATTATGTTTGTAATTTTTATATGATTAGTTATTATATATTGTAATTTGTTATGTTTTTTTAGTTTGTATATTTTATGTTATAATATGTATACTTTGTATTTACTGATTTGTAAATACAAGTTTACTAATTTTTATTGTAAGTAGCTCTGTACGGTTAGTATACTTTGTAATATTTGTAAACTTGGTCATTTTTGTTTAATTATATTTGTAATGATTATATGACTAAAAAACAGCCTAGTTGACTTTGGGACGGAAGTCCTCTATATAGGAATGAAGCCTCCAAAGTTAACTTGTATGTTTCTCTCTTTTGTATTGTTTGTCGGTCTAGTTTGTCGTTTTTGTCCACCATGATTGTTATGTTTGTATTGTTCCTATGTTTTGTATGGTTTGTACATCTTGTTTGTATGATTTGTCATTCTAGTTTGTAATGTTTGTATGGTTTGTATTGTTTGTATTGTTTGTATGGTTAGAGAATGTGTTTTTCTTAATTTTTTCCAATTAATTTTTTTCATTTTTTCTTAAAAAAATTCCACGATTAATTAAAATAATTGTGCCTATCTAAAAGAATCTTCATGTTATATGACATGCCATCAATCAATTGTATTGGTCATTAAACACTAACGATCAAAACTAATGGAGACAAAACATTATGTCAGAATATTCATTTCGAAAATTTTATGCTTGAAATTACACGATTTGTAAAGTTCAAGTGTTCTAATAGTATTTGTCATAAAAATTAGATACTGCAACATAGAGAAGAAAAGATTAGATGCACAAGAGACCACTAATTAGTAATTACAGACCCAACCAATTGTATTCGTATGGTTAGTGGGTCTCCATCTGCTTTCTTTCAGCAACGCAAAAGAAGATAGGGTGAAAATGGAAGAAAACGAATATTAAATCGTATAATTTTTGTCATACCAAATGTAGGTCAAGAAGATAGGAAGAAGATGGAAGAAAATGATAAATATTTTCATTCACGTTTTTTTCTAACCAAATTAGGTATCAATTTCCCCGTAATTCAAACCAGATCCTTCTACCTCCCAATCCCCCAACATCTCACTCCATATATAAGAAGCCAATTTTCACTAGCTTACCGTAACTCAATATTCATGCACTTCCACACGTAACAACACTTACACATCAGCACATAATTACTCCTAGATCTCCCAACAACAAAAGAACGCCGCCGAAATGTGCACGCTAGAGAAGCGCGGCAATCTCTTCATCCTAACACTGACCGGCGACAGCGACGACGACCACCGTCTCAACCCGGCCTTACTCGCCACCATCCTCTCCTCCCTCCGCGAAGCCAAATCCCAGGCCACCAGAGGCGCGGTCCTCATCACCACATCCCAGGGGAAGTTCTTCTCCAACGGCTTCGATCTGGGCTGGGCCCAATCCGCCGGGTCCAGGCCCGAGTCCGCCAAGCGGCTCCACCAAATGGTCCAATCATTCCAGCCCATCGTCGCCGAGCTGATCTCCCTCCCGATGCCGACCATCGCCGTCGTCCAGGGCCACGCCGCCGCGGCCGGGTTCGCCCTCGCGCTGTGCCACGACTACGTGTTGATGAGGAGCGATAAGGGAGTTCTGTACATGAGCGAGGTGGACTTGGGGCTTCCGCTGCCGGAGTATTTCGGTGTGTTGTTTAGGGCGAAGGTGGGGTCGGTTTCGGCCCGGCGGGACGTGCTTTTGGGAGGGATGAAGATTAGGGGAGCGGAGGCGGTGAGGCTGGGGATTGTGGACGGGGTGCATGAAGGAGAGGAGGAGGTGAAGGAGGCTGGGATGCGGCTGGGGGAGGAGTTGGGGAACCGGAAGTGGGACGGCGGGGTTTACGGAGAGATGAGGAAGGGTTTGTATCCGGAGCTGTGTGGCGTCCTCGGGTTGGAAGTGGGCAAACCAGTCCTGCCCACCCTCTAGAAGCTAGTGTGTTTTCTGTTATCAAATACAATGGAATGTTGGGGGATGTAGATGAGAAGTTGAGAATGTTGTTAAAGAAAACCACGTTTCATGGAATACAAATTATGAAATAAGATGGTAAAAATATACGGATCATGGCCAATTCTGTAGTGCCGTCACTGCATTGGTACAGTCCATTTTCTACCGGCTACACTGAGTCTTCGGCTCTTCCCGTTAATGGGCTGGGCCCTACCTCTACGGGAACAAAGAAAAAGTGTTTGCAATTTTTTGTATTTTAAAATAATGTTAAATACTCTACGCGAAGGTCATGTAATATGTTGTACTTTTGTTCCATTACTTTTTTTTACAATTTAGACCCTGTAATAAAACAAAAAGAAATACAGATTTTGGTTGGTAACCTAAAAAATAAATATGAGTAAGTTTTAATTTTTTTTTTTTTTTGTTAATTATAGGTACTTAGTTGTAAATAGCCACACGGAAATTAGAGGTGTAAACGCAACCTATTTATATCGTTGTATGATGTACTGGAAGATTAACGAAATACAAAAACATAAAAGGGAGATCCTCTTCGTGGACTAGTGTTATACTGACGATATCATGATAAAAATTCAAATCATTTGAACAGTGATAATTGGGGATGAGATAATATCTTATGAATTACTCTATTTCTCAAAAAATTTACATCTAGTTTACCTACATTTATAACCCACTTTCACTAACGTGGCTTTGCCGTTGCTAGGGATGACAATCAAACCCGTAACCATGAATAACTGACCAACTCGACCCAATCAATGAATGGAATCGCCTCATTGACTGGGTATGGGGTGGAGTACTAGTAAAACCGCAAAAAGTTTGAAGTGGATGGGGTGGTATGCTTTGAGACTCCCCCGATTTTATTCAGATACATATTGGTAATACCTGCTTCGCTGCTCGTACATCCAACATTACTATGATATTTAATTATAACACTAAATGGATCTAGTAAACCATGAAATTAACAAAGATAATATTAAATTACAAATTTAACACATTTAATCCTAAAATATTCATAAACCATAAGAAAAAGTATAATGTTATCCAAATCAACTAGGGAGTTATTTTGTGACAACAACCCCTGCCACTATGGGAATCAACTAGAAAATGTACATCTTTACCAAACTCAAAACCTAATAAAGGAGCCAAGAAAAGATAATAGAGCAAGCTAAATTACAGAATTCCAATGCGAAGTACAATCAAATTATGCTTAACTTTCATTACCACTTCATGGACACTTGGAATAAATAACTATAATTTTTTAAAAGGGAGAAATGAGTAAAGGACTAAAAGAAGAATTGGAGGGAGATAAATTATTGTTTGGTTTGGGTTACCATTCAATTACATTTTAATATTTTTTTGAATTACACTTCTTTTATTGAGATGTTACATTTGATTTATCTATTTTTTATGTATAAAAGTACACTTGGTGGGTTGGGTATGAGTATGAATATGTGGCAGGGAGTCTAAAACCATACAACATCATACCTATCAAAGTTTTTGTGTGTTTTAACCATACTCGTCTCATACTCAGTCAATGTGGATTCTCTACGTTAACAGGTTGGGGATGATCAGATACCCGTGGTTGCGGGTTGATTTTCATCCCTTACAACGATGGAGCCACGTTAATGATAAGGAGTTATAAATATAGGTAAAAGTACATCTAAAATTTGTATTTTTTTAAATAGAGTAATTGTTAAAATATTAGTCAATCTCTAATTATCACAATTCAAATCTCTTGATTTATATTTTTAGCTTCAATTCAAATTTCTAGCACCACCATTGATAATATAAACTTAAAGTATTTTAGTTGAATAAATTTAATTTTTTTGAATACTCTGTATAAATATTCTGCCATGTGTTGTTTTTTCTAGGGGTTGAGAAAAAAAATATTGTAACAAAAGTACACAACATGAAAACAAATATTACATGACTTTGTGTAAAGTTACGGGAAAATCTGAAAAATATTTTTTCTTTGTTCTCGGAGCCAAGTAACGGGGTTTCAAAAAAAAAAAAAAACTAGCCCAGTAACGGAGAAAGCTGAAGACCGGGCGACCGGCTGTAGCCGGTAAAAAAGGGACAGTATCAATACAGTGGCGGCACTAAAGAATTTCCGACGAATCATTAATACAGAACATAAAATCATATAATATAATTATAGAAATTAACATTACAAT